ATCTACATATCACAGGTTGTTAATGAGTCTTTCTACAATCCTGAAGTCACGTTCTTCTTCACATAGTTCAGACTTATATAATTATTTAGTTTGCTAAATATTTTTTAAGTTTCTGTCCTCCATTCAAACACCTCATGTACCTTAGCACATTTTCCTGACTAATAAACATCACCACCCTTCTCACCAATTTGAATAGTTCCACTTTTTCTTTAGTGATACACACAGTTATTGTTTTTCAGAGAATAATTAAACTTACCAACATTTTAAATGTTTTTGCTTCTTGTAATTTTTATTTGTGTGTGTGTGTGTGTGTGTGTCTATCAAACTTGGTCCCTCTGAGTTTACTTTTCTTCTTAACGACGTCATTATTATTTCGTGTGTGTGTGTTCCGGTCTGTGAATCATGAATCTGCTTAGTCTTAGTATCCATGAAAATGCTTGCCTTTCATTTTCACTCTTGAATTACAGTTCAGATAGTTATAAAATTCTGAGCTGACCAGTATTTTCCTCAGAACTGTGAAAATTCTTATGACCTTCTGGCATCTATTGTTGACAAGGAGAACTTTGTTGTCATTTTAATATGCTTTCCTTTTTGGCAGTCTTCCCTATGGAAACCTCTGAGACTTTTTCTCTCTTGTGTTCTTTATGTGCTGTAACTTCATGGTAATGTCTTGGTGTGAATCAATCTGTATTGCTGGGGATTTAAAATGTGTTTTTGATCCAAAGAATCATATTTCTCAATTCCGGAAAATTTTAACTCTTACTCCTACAAATTTTCTTTCTTTATCATGCTTCCAGTCTGTTGTGTTGGAAATACTACATGACATATTGGAAAGTTTCAAATTTGTAATTTCAGTCACTGTATTTTTCATTTTTGAGATGTCTAATGGTTTTTGTTTAATACCTATCTATTCTTGATTTATTTCTTCCTGTTTTTACTCTCTGGCTTTTTTTTTTTTTCTTTTTGTGGAGAGTCATTCACTCATTTCTTTCTATAAGCATCCTTAACATCCTTTATCAGCCATTTCCATAAAGTTAATTTCTTTTGCAATGAATTTATGTCTCACTCAATGATTTTGTTGGCTCTCATTTTCAGAATCGTTTTCATGTGTTTGGACTTTTGGTTTATAGGCACGTTTCTCCCCCTCTCTCCTTCTCCCTTCTTCTTTCCTTCCTCTGAGGCCTGTTTTCCTTCACTTTCTAGCCCCTGCCCCTTGGGCTACTACGAGTGGCCTCAGTTTAGAATAAGACTTGAAGAGTTGCTTCAAGGCTCCTATCCTAAGGTAATACTGGGCTTAGGGCAGGTGGCCTGGGCCAGGGTGTGGCTTGGTCCTCATGGTGTGGCTGGCTGTGATCTTCTCTACCTGCATATTGCTTAAAAGTAGTAGAATCTTTTTTTTTTTTTTTTTTTTAATCTTATCCTTGTTAGAGTTGGCTCAGGAAGACCCTATATTAGCCCTGGTATGAGCAGGAAGCTTGGCTCTGGCCCACCATCTTACATGGAAGATGTTATTTCCCTTGACCGGATCAGAGTGGAACTCTTGGCCACAACACCTCCTTCAGGACCTGAAGCCCTTCAGGCTTGCAGCTTCAATCTGCTCAGGACTTTGTGATTCTCTTCTATGGAGATGCTTGGCCTGCTTTGATCCTAGCTATGCATCTAGGCATAACATTTTTATCTTTTATTCATCATTGTTATCTGCTTGGAGCAGAATGAGTGTGTCATATGCTGAACTCACTGTGCCTTTTTGAAATAATTTTTCCAAAATAATTTTTAATGGCATTAGACAATACTTTTATTTTAAAGTAGAGTAAATAA